CTCGCGGGCCAGCTCAGGCACCACCAGGAAGGTGCGCCAGCCCTGCCGCTTCTTGGACTTGAGGATATCCCCAAAGATGTGGTCCCCCATGTAGAGGATGTCTTTGCCCTTCACGCCCAGCAGGTCACACACCACGTCCGAAGAGCCTGTGACAGCCAGACGTCAGGGTGGTGATGCGGGCACGTCCCCCCGCGCTGCCTGTGGAGCCCGGATGGGCACTCACCACCGGAGTAGACGGCGCAGTGCTGGAGTGGACCAGTGTATGTCCCGATGCGCAGCTTCCCCGTGTCCTGTGGGACAAGAGGACCCCAGGATGGGGGTGTTTGTGTTACTGTTACCTGTGCCCACCCAATGGTGAATCCACCTGGCTGTCCCCAAAGGAGCCCCCGCTGTGCCCAGGCAGTGCCAACTGCCCCCCACAGTGATGGAGAGGTCCCCACCGTGTTGACTTGGCGCAGGACGGTGCCCTCGGCGAAGAAGAGGGGTTTGCGGGTGTCCACCACAATGAGGTCAAAATAGGATCGCCAGGGACGCTGTGGGGTCTTGGCCTGCCGGGCGTCAGGGGCGGGTGGAGGGGTCAGCGATGTAAGTGGCCTCTTTTATCCAAAATGTGGTATAATGTAATCAGCCTCATAAATACAATAGCAGGATTTTTGGAGGCAATTCTTGAATACAGCTTCAATCAACTAACTAAAAGGAGTACTACTAAGTTTTCCTGCATTAGTGAGCAAATTCTTACTACAGAGAATGCCAACGCAGAGCCTTCATGGTATTTCTTAGGACTCATTTAATATCCTAGTGTCAAATCCCTGCAGGTCCACAAAAACCAGAGCAGGCAAGGGCAGACAGCCCTTCTCCAGGGTAGGGAACATGCTATGAATATTGAGAGCTAACTCAAGGTTTCTCAGCTGGGTAGGCAAAACTGAACGTTGCTACACAAGGAATGGAGGAGGAAGGCAAGGAGAAGGGACACAACTGGGCCCAGAGATGCGGGAGAACCAGACTTCATGTTCCTGCTACTGCTGCGCATGGGAGAAGGAAGAGTGGGTAAGAGGAAGAGGGATATGGAGAAGATGGGAAAGGCGACCACTGCTTCTGGGAAGGATGTGCTCCACCGATCGCCACCCCTCTGTCAGCTGCAGTAGGTACCATTACAGAATCGTTGAGGCTGGAAGGGACCTCTGGAAGTCATCATTATTGCTCTGGAGGCAACAAGGAGCTGAACTTTTTGAAGCCTTTTGGACGCTGATATCGCAGGCTGCTGCCTACTTTTCCTGTGTTCAGCCCCTCCATCATCCCACCCACCCCCACCACGATCCAGCAGGTCCAAGCCCCCACCCACCAGCTCCCTCTTACTTGATGTATCTGGAGCAGTTGGTGAAGAAGTCCACGAGACAGGCATAGAGGTGGGCCTCTGCCGGGGAGGGGGCTGTGAGAGGGGACGTGGGGGCACAGGGGGAGGGCAGCACCCCATAATGGGGTGTGGGGGGCACGGGTGCGGGGACATGAGTTCTCACTCACCAGTGAGGTTGAAGAGTGTGTTGAGAATGTGGAAGCGCTTCATGTCGTCCCGCTGGATGAACTTGTTGGGGTAATAGTGGAGGATTTCAGTCCTGGGGAGGGAGAACAGAGCTGCACCCCATGCCCTGTTGTGTCATCCCCTGCCAAGCCCCCAGGGTCCCAGACTCACCCCTTGAGGAAGCGGAAGCCGTGAGCGCAGACCAGCAGGTTCCCATGGGAGTCCACCTTCAGCAGGTTCCCATACAGGGCATCGAACACTAGCCCCCTGCGCCGCACAGCCCGTCAGCGGGTGGGGGTCCCCACTGACACCCCCTCCCTGTGTTCCCCCACTCCCAAAAAAACCACTCACCGGGTGGGGAAGGTGGGGTCGTACTTGTAGGCAAGGATCTCATGGGGGTACCCAATGGAGACGAGGTGCTCCAGCAGCAGGGCGAAGGCCAGCTCTTCATAGTCGGGGGACTTGTACACTGCAGGGGGGACAAAGTGGGCAGCGTGGGCAGGGGCTTGGGGGGGTGGTCTCACTACCCACTGTCCCACCTCAGCCCACCCCACCTGAAAAACGCACTGGCCAAGGTGTAGTCCATGTCAAAGCCGAAGCACTTGATCTTCTCCAGCGCCAGGCTCCGGTTGACAAAGATCCTGGGGGGCAAACAGGGGGACTTATGGGGTGAGGGGGTGTCTAGGGCTAGGGGTGGCACGGAGGAGGGGATGGGGACCTGTCCCCACGTCCCCCAGCCCTGGGCTGGGCGGGGGCGAGCTGTGTGCCTGCCCTGCCCCAGGGGCCCCACAGCGAGTTATTGGAGCAGAAAAATGGGCTTTTGAGTTGGAAATGGAGACGTGGGGGAGGGGGGGG